AGCTGAAAGGCACAATAAATAAGATATGTGGGGAAAAAGAAAATAGGGTTGTTTTTTTCAGTTAAAGATGTCTTTGGGATTTTAATTGATTTTTGGATAACATTACTAAACTTTACCTAAAAGAAAAAAAAAGCTTTTGAAGTCCTCCTCTATGAAAGCAAGTTGTTCATTTTATCTATGTGACAAGAGAAAGTTTATTTACTGATAGTTAATTTTAACGTACGTAGTAAATAATTAAATTATTCTGGCAGTTGCCTTGGGACTTTATTTCAGGCTTTTTTCGTTTGTTTATTTTTAATGGCAAGGGAGAAATTATGCAACTATATCACAACACAGGATAACTTTCTGTTAAATATTCATGAATTTCTTTGTACCAAAAGCAAAAGCTGTGGGCCGGGTTCTATAAAATGAAAAACAGACTGTCCGCTCCCATTGTAGTGCTGCTGATACCTCTTTCTCCCTCAATGAGATCTCTAAAAAAATCTGAAGAAAAGAGAGATTATGTAGCCATGAACTACACAGTACACAGCGATTTCCTGCAGTAATACGAATCCAGCTGATTTTGTGAATGACTTGCTCAAGCATTGTTGATATCCACTTTCTGTAAGATAAAACTACTTTGGCATATGTAAGTTCAACAGGGACACTGGTGAGTGGGACTTAATCACATTCCTAATTCCCACTTCTTTTTATCTACATGTGTAATGGAGAGCTGCATGGTAATGCAATATAATTTTTTTTCTCTTTTATCCTGAGCCTGTTGTTTTTTCCATGTATAGTATTAACTAACACATACAGAATGTGAACAGACCTGTTAAATAATACCTACTCCCTGTGTGAGTGACACTTAAATGTGCAAATTTTATTTCTCTTCTTGATCAGGCATGCTTGACTTCTATAAAGCTTCGTTTTTTTTGCATCATATTTTTGCTTGGTGTGCACTTCGTGCTTGTTTTTCTCCACGGGCCACAGATTCAGAGACAGCTGACAGGTTTCAGAATAAGATGGATTTACGATCCCATTGCTGAACCACTTATGAAAATACAGCTTGATGCCTACCTGCTAACCTACTGAAGTGAGTCTCTTAACAAAATCCTTTACTATTTGCAAACCAGACTTATCAAAGAGGAAATAAACACTAAGAGACATTAAAAACTCAATGGATACTATTGATTCTGTTACTCATTTATTACATTTTTAATGCCCTTTACTGCTGTACATGTATCTTCGGTATATACAGTATACAGTAAATGAGAAAATAAGTATTCCCTGCAGTATAGACAGTATATATACAGTATAGTAAAACATAACAATTTGTCTTTTAACAATTATTTTCCTCTAATTGCTTTAAATTTGTTTACCATAAAGGAATTTGTGCTTCTTCTAAGAGTGGGTGAAATATGATGACCTGTATGTAAAGTATGCAGGTGTTCCCATTCTTTGCCAGTACTTTACCTGTGTAAACTTCTGTGAAAACGTCTCAATGCAGTAGTTCATTGATTGGCTAGATTGTATACTTACAGTATATGCTGTACTAGCTGTATCGCATATACACTCATGTCTTGTTAATTTTCCAACATGTATCGAAAGTGGTGCTACACCTTTAAGCCAGTTTGCACTTGATTACGTATGTTTGGAACCCAGAAAGTATGTTATCTGCCAGCAATGACTTGCTTTACTGGAAATGTACAAGTTTAAAGTTACAACTTATCTTGCAATTTTAAGAAACAAAACTGTGGTAGTATCATGTACTTTTCTGAAGACAAATGAGAGGATACTGATGAAGGCTGAAATCAAGTGTTCATTTGACGGAGTCCTCTCTTTCCACTGTTGGGCAGATTGCTCCTGTTTTTTTATTTCCACTTGGGACATGAGAAGTCTTTGGCTATACGGTAAGGTTAATATACATACGATAAAGCTGTCATCAAAATGCTAAAAATAAGCAATGAATTTAAACTTTGCTGCAATGCAAAATGTGATCTGCTTTTTTAATGCTTTAAAAATCAGCAGGTTATTCAAATCTGCATAAACATTTAGCCATTCTTCTTACCAAAAACAGAATTTGCTAGTTTTTGCTAGTTCTTACCAAGTCTTTTGCTAGTTCTGCACTCTTAAGCCTTTACTATTATTTAAAAAAAAAAACACACACCTCCAATTTAGGCTCCATTAAGATATTTTTTTTCTTCAAAATGTAAAGTTTAAATTTCTTAGGTTAATGTGAGAACTAAAATAGAACCAAATTAATTCCTTTTAGACCCCATAGTGACCCCAGCGTTCCTGTAAGGATAAATATACCAGGAGAAATTCACTTTACTGTGTATAAATTAAGTTGAATCATATGAGCCACAAGTAATCACAAATAAACAGATATTTAACAGTTGATCATTTGCAATTCTTTGCATTCTATTAAGCTATGCTTTGGATTTTATGATTTTATTGGCAGTGATATTTCTGCGAAATATCATTATGTGAAATAATGTCATTATTAGTGTTAGTTTCTTGTGAATACTCTTGTGAAGTGCAATTTACTGAGTTCAAGCTATCATCAAATTTTGTAGGCTAGATAAGGTTGTATTTTAGCTGGTACAGAAATCACTGTGCTGCTGCCCAACATAATCTTTTAAAAATATACTGTAAGTGTCTTTGTAAAAGGTTACTACATAATGAGGTTGCGTAACAGGCTGCCAGATTGTATGAAAGGTTGTCTCATTGATTTAGCTCTTGAGACAGTGTGTTTAGGGCACATAATGAGAATGTCATAACTATTCAAGGGTTTAATGTAGTCAGGGGCTCTGGCTGATTCTTTTGGACGTGTCATTTTCCAGGACGCAAATTCCATTATAACCAAGGGTAATGGAAAGGGGTTAGTTGGTTGCATGGTTGTTATATTGTTGTGGGTCTGTGTCTGGACACTTAAAAAGGAGAGGGAAACCCAGTCTAATTTAGAGTGAGCGAATGACCCGAAGCACAAACCTTCAGCTGGGTGACACACGTACACCGTATAATATAATACACAACGAAAATCAAAGTGGAAGGACTGCATAGAATTTATTTTAGCCAAAATATAAAGAGGTCTAACCATCCTGTAAAAATCCTTCGGTTGGTATCATTTTTTTATCGCACCAACCCTCACCATACTATGTACTGTGTTATTGTTCAGCTACAAGAATCATTTGCCGTGTTTTTACCTAATGGGCTATTTATAATGTCTAGATCAAATTCCTTAGCATGGGAAACTATGGTATCAACTACTGTTTATCAAACTGAGCTCTCGGTTAATTAATTTATCTCTTTTTTTATGCATGATCATCCATCCATTTTCTAACCACTTCTGTCAATTCAGTGTCCAGGGGGAGCCAGAGGCTATCCCAGCACGCAATGGGCACAAGGCAGAGTACACCCTGGTCTGGGCACCAGTCTGTCACAGGGCAAATACAGATACAAACACTGACACATACTCACACTAGGACCAACTTTCCCAGAAGCCAATTCACCTACCACTATGTTTTTGGACTGTTGTGTGAGGAAACTGGAGCACCCAGAGGAAGCCCACACGAACACGGGAGACCATACAAACTCCGTGCAGATAGCACCCCAGGTCTGGAATAGCTCTGCAAGGCAGCCATGCTAACTACTGTGCCACTGTTCTGCCCATTGTGTGATCATGTCTCACTTAATTTAACCCATGAGTAACCTAATAGAAATGAGACATTCCTGGTTTCGTTCTGGGCTCTGGCTGCCTAAAATCTGCATCCCCATGTGGCTGCGAACTGATGGGGTGGGACGGGCTTGAGCCTCTGCCACTTTCCAGAGGCCTGTGAGCTTGCTATGCTATAACTGGGACTGCTTCAGTCCCACATGCAGTGCTGTCTTGTCTGTACAGTGGATGCTGTGGGCATGCAGTCAGAAAAGCTGGGTAGCGCACATTTCAGAAAAAAGCTGACATTAGCTTTTTTATTCCTATTGCAGGATGCCATGTGTCACCTGTCCATTCGAAATGAAAAGGGGGTAAAAAGGATTGTCATTTCAATTAGAAACTACATGACAGGCAAAATATAATAGATACTTCTTTTTTTGTATCCATATTTACTTATCTATTTGGTATTATAATTCAAAATCTCCCAACTCTTCAATAGCCGAATAATCAATGTCAATAAACTGCAATTACAAAATTACAGGTTTAATTAAGTATTTAATTTCATTTGGAAAGAGAAGCAGAAGACACTTCGGCTCTGCAGACGTGGGCTTGGGAGTTCCAGGTCTACACCAGTGATCTTCATTCAGATTGCACACAGGGTAACATGCCGCATTGTTACCTCTGAGTCTTCAATCGTCAGATCACTATCAGTGTCCGAATTAAATAAGGTTTTACATGGTGAGAATGCAGAAGAGCAAAGTTTAAAAAAAATATATCTCTGGAATATAAAATGCAAGAATATAGAACTCTCCACAGTGTCTTTTAAGGGTGGTAAAGCAGTGATATACAGAATGCAAAATTCAGTCTACAGGTGGTGTTTTAATTATGGTGCTTATCAGACTCCCAGGAGCATCAGAGTGATCTGCTGTCTTCTGCTGAGCTAGGGAAGCACCAAGAGCTTGATTAGCAGCCCAGCAGATGCAGATGCAGTAGCTGTTGGTGGAGTGTTCATCTCTGTGCCAGAACCTCTTTCATCCAAACAAAACGATGCACATTTCCAGACGTCCCCAACCACGGTTTCCCTTTCAGTAGGTCATGGAAGACAGATTCTCATTAAGTTTTACATTCTGATTTGGATATTCATATTTGCAAAGATGTCGTATAAAATGTTCATTAAATGTTATCTACAGGCTGTTTAAACTATAATTGTAAAATCATATTTTTTTTAAAAAAAGCTTTTACCTTTAACCTTTCATTTCATTTGGTACAGGCAGCATATACGGTATGTATGATTTGTTAAATTACTGGTGCAATATAATATCTTCATGCCAGTAATGATATTTCCTTTTGGGGCTTGCTTTAGGTGCTGGAGAAATACCCAAACACACCCATGAGTCATAAAGAAATCCTTAAGGTGATCCAAAGCGAGGGGTTGAAAGAGATAAGGTAAGAATTATTCCCACCTTTTTTAAACAGGGATTTGGCCTGAGCTAATAATATTTGGCCATTAGTGCAACACACATGTGTGTGACACCCAATCGATCTTCAGCCACAACATGAATGTTTAAAGCTGAAATTGCTTCATAATTATATTTCCATTTAGTTTATCACACATGAGGTACTGTATACTTGCAAATGAAGGAAACTTTGTTTTGGGTTCGGAACAAGTTTGATCTCAGAATAACAAAATGAAATCCCAAACACTTTCAGCATTGTTTTTCCTTTGTTCACCATAGCATTCAATTAATTACGTGAGTGCTAGACAAAAGGTGGGCCACTCTACATTTTACAGACTATGGTTGTAATATTAAGAATGAGGATTGAGACAAAAAAACTCAACACTGTGTTTTGTTATAGCTTGAAATATGTACAGTGTATTTTACACATACATTTGATTTCTCTTGAAAAATACCCTTAACAAGGATTTCTGATTGGGAGTCACATACAGTATTGAGTTCAGACAACATTTAATAATAGTGTGAGATTTAATAAATGGATGGTGAAAACCAGCACTAATGTGTCAATTATTTCAGTAATTATTTGATGCAGTAAATTGCATTTGAAGAAGAATAATTGGCTGTCACCTAAGAGACATAAAAGCATTTGATTGTTGTAAGGAGGGCAGGTGGTTTGGCTTTGTTTTTCTCTGCTCTTGGCAATGATCAAGGACATACGTAGTTACCTCATCACCTTAATGAGGCTTCTGATTGTTGAGGGATTTTGCACTGCACTGCCTACACCCTGTTGCCTAGGGCTCTCCTGTAGACACAGAACTAGTGCGCCCACAGTATCCAGATGCAATCTGGTCTGGAGACCTGAGCTACATACAGTACTAAAAAAACTACAGATACTGTATACACATTTTGGTATTGGTGTTGTTTTTTCTGAGGAGCAAAGATTTCTTCTAGTGTGAGCAAGAACCAAATTAATAATTAATTGATTTTGTTGGTATTACAAATTAAATAGGGTGGTTTTCAAGTGGTATTTTCATTCCATCCAGAGTTTGGAGTTACTTTTGTCCAAGCTGAGCCTCTGTTTGTCGACAGTGTGAGGGCACAGAATCAGCCAGATGTTCCAGTGACTGTGTGGGGTTATGGTTGGCTGGAGTTCCTGAAATCCACAGACGGGGTATCTCTAGGAGTGGGTGGCTTCAGTGATACCTTTGTCCATCCTGACTCAAACCAGGATGAGTGGTGCCATAAGAGCAAGCACATCTTCAAGCAAGGTTCTTTTGTGTTGGTGCAAGGCTGCAGTGGAAAATAGGCCTAAACCGCAATAGGTGATCTTCAAACTGAGGAGTCAAGTTTGCAAAGTAATGATTCTGAATGATTTTTTTTCTTTTGTTCTATGGGATCTTCATGATTACATATTTTCTAAATGTAGACAGCACATGCTGAATTTTGTCAGGACATCAGATAGTTTTGAGTTCATATGGTCTTAGTGCAAGTGAGTGGTATATTTCTGACTTTGTACAGGTTGTTTACTGGTCTTAACACTGTACATATGTCATGGGCTTGAATGTTTTTGCCCCAGTGGGGATTTTATAAGAACATAGGAATGGTTACGAAGGAGATGAGGGCAATTAGCCCATCTTCTGTACCATTTTAGGTAGGTAATAGTTATAAATGATCCAAGCATCACCTATTATTATAATATGAGATACTAGAATATTTCCATCTTATATACAGTTTACATTATAATAATAAAACATATTCCAGTTCTTTATCCAAATAAAGTAAATAATTTCCTTCAGTGTATTTTATTCACACTTGCTAGATGTGGACCTTCACACTTTCTAAAAACTGGGATCAGATTTTGCTCATGAACAAAAGCAAAGTCCTGTTAATGTAGTATTTATTAGTTCTAATTTGGCGCTCTGATGTAAAGTTACGTTTGCTGTGGTCTCTGCGGCTTCAGGATGACTGACAGTTGTTGAGGTTTGTTTGATTAATACTGTTGCGATATGGAGGATTTTCACTTGGGACAGGTGGAGTGAAAAATCAACTGGCGATAGATGTTACTTCCTAGAAGACACAGTGGTTAACACCCCTTCTATAATGTTGTTTAAAATTTGTAATGTGAAAGGAAACTGTTAAACATCAGATTCACACGCTTCAGTTCTGCTTTTAAGTACATTTTGAAGTAAAAGAAAATGTATTTTTTGAGTTACTGTATAGATATGAATATGAATTAGTGATTCGTCCAATGCTATGGGAGGAAGAAGTGTCTCATAAGTTCACAGTCTGTCTTTTTTAACAAATTAAATCAAAGCAGGAAATAATAATGACTTTTTGCTAGTGAAAGAATTATGTTTTATATCTATATTTTCCTTCTGAAAACTGATCAAACTGAGTGAAGACTCCCACTGTGCAGTTTGCTATCTTTCTTCAGCACAGTGTGCTGTGAACTGGGAAGCAGTATCTTAATAATAAATAATTATTGTTTAATCGATTCATTTTTTCTGTTCCCTGTGCTTTGAAAAACTAAAAACTCAACGTTGATGGAAACACCATTGGCAGTAATTACAACTACAAGTGTTTCTGGATTAATTTGTACCAAACTTGTACAGTACTCCAGAATATTTTAATTTTAGCCGATTCAATTTTTGTCCTGTATGTATGCTCAAGTTTAGACAGATTTGTTGGGCATCATTATTGAACAACAATTTTTAAGTCAAATTAACTGTTGGATTCAAGTCAAGACTTTAATTGAGCCGCTTAGGGGCATTCACTTATATCATGTTCAGCTATTACAGCAAAGCTTTGACTTAATGCTGTGGTTCATTGTCTTGCTGAAAGGAGAATTATATGTTGTTAGAATACTCAAGCAGGTTTTCCTTGAAGATCTGTCTGTGCTTTACGCCATCCATTTATGCCTCAGTCTTGACAAGTTTACCAGTCCCTGCTGATGAGAAGCAGCCCCCTAAAATAATGCTGCCACCACTATGCTTGATAACAAGAATGGTGTTGACTGAGTAACACACTGTTTTGGGATTGTGTTACATGTAATGCTTTGCTTTGAGACCAAAATTGGTCACAAATCATTTTGCCATTTATTTGCATTATTAGTTTAAAGGTTTGTTGAAAATGCAATACAGGAGTATATACCCACAAAACCTTCTGTCACGTGTTTGCAATATGACTTAATTGCTATGTTGTTGTTTTTTTCAATAATGACTTCTTTCTTGCTTCTTTTTTTCTTGAGCTTTGTGGAGTGGTGGGGATATTCTCGATCATGGACATTTCCCATCTCAGCTGTTAAACTCTGTGTCTTTCGCAGTTGCCACTGGCCTCATGTGACATTCTTAACTAGTTTTCTTCTTGCCTGGCTGCTCTGTTTGAAGGAACAGTCTGGCAATGTCAGTCAGTGTCTGGGTGCTACAATATACCTTTTACATATTATATATATATTTCCTCAAAGGGATATTCAGTGTTTTTGAAATTTTCTGTACAGTACACTTCTCCTGATCTGCACCTCACTTCAGCTTTATCCCCAAATTGTTTTGGTCTTATTGTTTGATATTTTGCTGTCATACAGTATATCACTCACAATACTTTGTATTAATTTATTTTAAATTAAGCCAACTCATTTGATATTTCTATTAATAAGATGTATTAATTTGCCACAAAATTATTTTGACTATAAATTAGAACATTATCTCTGGATTCATGCAACATGGTGTGTTGTTTTGGTTCCCAAGATTAATACTCAACACTACCTGCTAGTTTACTAATGTTTTTTGCTTCATGGTATCTTTTTTTTAAATTCTATGCTGTTAAGAAAAATATCAACTTTAAATTGATCATTTTATTTGCTACATTATATAGTAACCTATGTTTATAAACTGCATTTTCTATGTTTTCTTTAAATGAACAAATCAGTAATCAGGATGTAAAAATGGATTAAATAAAAACGGATCTAGGTTACATAGTTTAAAACTGTGTGGGTTTACCAATAACCCAACTGAAGACCAATACCACCAATATAGGTGCATGCCTTTTTCACCAGTGAAAAAATGAGCAGCTGTGCTGTGCCAATTCCTAAATCTGCTATTAAGAACGTACTTAGACTTCTGGCATCAATTTGGATATCAGCAAAGCAACCAGCTTTTCCATTCCAGTTTCTCCTTGCTGCTCTTGCTGTTCTGCAACAGAGGGAAGAAGTATGTGGAAAATTAAACCAAGGAAAGTGTATATTGAAAGAACTGCTGAGAGAAACTGAAAATGTGCAGTTTAATGAAAAGACCACTGTACCAAATCCTTGTTCATGCCGTTTTTATTTTGGTTTTTAATCTTAGCCAGCATGTGAATCCGCATGACAAATGGAAATTAAGGTACTTGGTTGTCATAGAGCTAATTTCCTACCTAGACAGTATCTCAGGGAGAAGGCTTTTATTTTGTTTACTCAATGACTTAGATCATTTGTTCCTTGGATTGTTTTTCACATTTAACACATTGTGTTCCTAGGAGGTTAGGAGTTCCATGGCTTCTAATAGCATGATACTGTACATCACTTCCACAATCAAATGAATAAGGAATTTCTGGCATCAATACATACGTTTATGGTATTTTATTGTTTTAGTGTACATATACTGTACATAGAGTGACACATACTCTGTTCAGCTAAATGTAATAATTTTATGCCTATCTGCAATTGCAGTCAGTCTTGAACCTTAAGTCTGCTTCACAAAGGAATAGCTCAAATCAGCTAAGAGAGGCAGAAACTGATATCTCTTCTCAAGGATGTGGAAAATTCTTAGAAGAATTCCTTCTAAATCCTATTGCATTGCTGACAATGCATTTCAACATTTTTAAGTAGAACTAGATGTATTTGCATATTGAATAAAGACCAATGGGGGGAAAAAAATATTTAGGGGGTCAAGCAAGAAAGTTAGTAGCCATTTGAATTGTTCCGAGTATTGCTTTTATTTCTGCTATAACTTTCAAGTGTCTTACATATCTAAACTAAAGACATAGCAGGACTGTAAAGACACATAGGACATTGTATGCAAATTAAATGCAGAATGCAAATTATTTTAATTGGTGCACAGTGTTATCTGTGTTAACACTGTTATTATGTCCAATATATACAGTACTGTACATGGATGGAACCAAACTTTCTCAGTCTAAACTGTGACAATCCAAACTTCAAGTTTGTACAGTAACTGCAGGTTTGCTGTCAATAGTCATGAATCAAATCCTTGTTTGAAGTAAATTTTTCTGTTATGTTGCTAACTATTTTGTTATTTGAAGCACATTTTAAGAACCCCATGATAAGGACTATTCGTGGAATCTTTCTTCCACCTGTGTAACATTGGTCAGTTAAAACCCTTGCTCTACTTGCTGTGATGCTCCAATATTGATACTTGCCTGTATTTTATGAAGATTAGACTACTGTAACTCTTTTACTGTGATATCTTCTAAGTTAAATAGCATTCAGTAAGTTTAGAATTATGTGGCTTGTGTACTAAATGTGTATTACATCAGTACTGTATATACTTTAACTCTCATTCTCTATATATTGTAATGATTCCCTGGGAAATTTAGGATGGACTTCAAAAATTCACACATATACAAGGCACTAATTAGTCTAGCTCCAGGATTTCTGTTCAGACATCATCTGATTCAGGTCTTCTAATTCTGGCAGTACTTTTTAACAGTAATTTACTTTTACTCTGGTTTTTGGTGTGTCAGTTTCCTTTGGATTTCATTTGTATTTATTTTTACTTGTTATGGGTATTATAGGTGTGCTTTAAAACTTTTTTGTGCTTTACCATAGTGTTCAACCCTTCAAATGATGTCCTATTGTGAATTACAAATAATGTATACACATGCTACATTTTCTCAATCAAAAGTGCCTATTCTCAAACACAACTTGAGTGCTCAAGCTGAATACTATTTTGGGAGAAAGAAGTCTCAGTGTTAGAAGTTAGGAAAAATCAATAAGTAAAATGTTGATTGCATAAGTTGTCACACGCCCTCCTATGATAAACTTTACTGTAGCTCAGGCGCACAAAATTATTTTGATAATTACACAATTGAATGATCTCTGACTGTTTTTCAATAGTAGTAGTAGTTCTCATGATTTCAGAATAAATACAATGGTCTTGCCTGTATGGCAGAGTATCAAACCCAACAAGCCTTTTAACTGATAATGCTTTTGTGACAAAAAGTTTTATCGTCAATTTTGTGAGATAAAATAGAAACCTTTTGGTTTCAATGCAAAGTGTTCCATCTGACACAAAACCATAACAATGTATTACCCATGGTGGTGGCAACATTATGTTATGGGGCTGCTTCTCATACTGTATATAAGGAACTGGGGGACTTTTTCAAATTAAGGCAAACATGAATGAAGCAAAGTATAGGCAAATCTTTGAGGAAAGTCTCTTCAGTCTGCTAAAGTCTGCTAAAACTTAAATTCTCCTTTCAGCAAGACAATGGCCTAAAGCACCAAAACTACACTGGAGTGGCTTAACAAGAAGGAATCAAGTGTCCTTAAGTGTCCTTGACTTGAATTCATAAGAAAATCTATGGCTTCAAAACTGATTTACTTCCAATGAGACATTAATTCCTAACCAACCTGTCAGAGTTGGAGTATGTTTGCAAAGACAAATGGCAAAAAAATGTATCATCCCAGTGCAAAGCTAATAGACTTATCCAAAAAGACTTGCAGCTATAATTGCTGCCAAAGGTACTTCCATCAAATATTGACTCGGTCTGGGGGTGGGGGGATATTGTGAATATTTATGCCATT